TTTTCAAACATTTGGAACGGAATATCAGAGGCAAATTCCGTGTATGTGCTTTTCGTACAAGGTCAAACTTTTCAATGAACCCAAACTCTGTATCACGACATTCAACCAAACTCTTCACCACTGCACCACTGCACGTCAGGAAACCGTTCTCAAATCCAGCAGATTAACACATTCAGACGTTTGACTTCTGTATCAGAGTCAACACGGTCCCACAGGAACCGACCAATCGGTCCATTTCACTTTCCCTCGTATATATTTCCACCATTTTCAGGCGTTTGTTTTTTTTCTTTTGACCTCTTCGCTGACGAACAGCCGTTGGGAAATTCCCTCCAGAGAATTCCGAACTCTCTGTATTTGACAGGCTTTATATATTTATTGTTATGTGGCTTTGTATATTTCTGTGTCTGTGCTCATCCTTCACTGACCTGGTGGACGATTCCTGAAGCGCAGACTCAACTAGCTACCAGCTAGCTAACTCGCGTCATTCATAGAAACAGAAAACAGATAACGGTAAATAATTACAAAAAAAAAGGTTCAACCTGAAGATACTGCACATAAACTGTAAACAAATGACAAACCTTAATAAAAAAAGAAAATGACGAGGGCAGCAGAGAGTTGACCCGGAGATAATTAACGTCACGTCAGCCCGCTGCACCACAGCCATCTGTTGCTCTGACTCATGTTTTCATCAGCTTTTATCAGAAACCCTGAAACATTGGCTGCACAGATTAATTAAACAAACGTATTCTGTCACAGCCTTTTTACTGCTATCAACAGTTGCCCTGGCAGAGAGAAAGGCAACCTGTGTCAGACTAAGAATTCTCTTTTCTCTCTCTCTGGTTTGAACCAAAGAACAGAAAAACATTTAATATTTATTCATAGGCTGAACTGATGCTGCTGCTGTTACTGCTGCTGTTACTGTTACTGCTGCTCCTCCTAGTGATTGCCTTTGAAATGACACTGGACCAACCCTGAAACTTCTGCTCAGTGTTTAGTGACTGTGTGTCCAAAACACATATATGTGTATATGTATGTATATATGTCCTTGTGGGGACATGGTTCAGGTGGGAGGCCTGGAATTGACTGTATGTATTTTGGAGTTAGGATTAAAATTAACATCAGATTAGCGTCAGGATTATGATCAAGACCTGTGATATATTTGAAGTATTAAAGGTTAGGGATATGTGGCTGAAGAATGTACTACGTCTACAGTATGTACTACTACAGTATGTGTAAGTATTCACATTCTCATGTCGTGTTGATATGTTTGTGTTTTTGGTGAAATATGTTGTTGTTTAGTTTTTGAGGTTTTCGATTCAGTTTGGAGTTAGGATTATGTTAGGATTATGTTAGGATTGAAGCCGACTTTAGGACAGGATCAGGATTAGACTGAGGTCAGGGTTCAGAGTTAGGGAACGTCAAGACCTCAGGACTAATGAAAATCAGACTGAGTGTGTGAGTGTGTGTGTGTGAGTGTGTGTGTGTGTCGGGGGTTATTGTTAGTATATGCACTTTAGCTTCCTCCAGGCGTGTTGGATAAAAGCTTTCGCCCAAATGCGTTTGAGAGTATGTCAGGAAATGGGGGGGTGGGGGTGGAGGGGGGGCAAATGTGTTATTTGGACGGCACGGAGCGTTATTGATCACGTCAACGGTTGAAGGAAGTCAGTCAACGACAGGCAGCAACACGGAAGTCAATCTCCAGATATACAGTACACCGCTGTCAAATCTACGAAGGGAAAAAGAAGTTCGGATAAAATCACGCGTCACTGCCGACAACATTTTCTTCAGAATTTTCACGGAAGAATTATTTACAGCAAGACTGGAAAGATTGAGCAGCAGCAAAGTAAAAAAAAAAAAAACACCAGGTCACACTTTCAAAAAGTCTAGACTGAAATCACAAAATAACAATTAACGCAAACGTATCAATCGTCGACATATGTCTTGATTTTCATCGACTTTTAATGAGGTCCTTTAATGTCCAGGTTAAAAGACCAAGATTCTCACGATCAAATTTCAAAGACGTTATTTTGAACCTAATCTCCCACCAACTACCCCCCCTCCCTGCCCCCCTCCCCCCAGTTGCCCTGAGCTGTTTGGTGTGGTCCATCATTAACAGTCTTTTTCGTGGAGGTGGCAGTAACGCTCCGACCTCCTCTGCCTCCGTTTGACCACCGGCGCTGACGACGGGTCCGAGGGCTTTTGATGTGTGACTGTTAGCAGCTACAGCATCATTGAGCAGCAGCAACGTAAAAAAAAAACAGCAGGTCACACTTTCAAAAAGTGTAAGTGTGTGTGTGTGTGTGTGAAGCTATTTTCAGGGTTTAGACTTGGCGGCAGTGGGAAAACACGGCAGCCCCGCGGGGCTGAGTCCACAAAGAGAAGCTCTGCTCTTCTCTGCAGCCTCGTAACAATTAACGCAAACAGTTGCGTACACGTCAAGGGTACGTATCAATCGTCGAGGCTGAGTCCACAAAGAGAAGCTCTGCTCTTCTCTGCAGCCTCGTCCGACCAACTGTCCGACCGACCGTCCGACCGTCGCCTCGGGCTCCGAGGAGAAGGGAAACGAGTTTACGGCTTTAATGGCCTCTAACTGTAAACTCTGCAAATATAATCATGGTCCAAACAACGCTTGGCCCAAACTGGGGAATCTGGAGAATCTGGAGCTCGAAACTGGAGGAGTTTATGATTGGAATCAGGTCAGATTGGATTATTATTATTACACATGTCTGATCTAAATATTTATATTATTGTAGTGTATCTGTGTGTAATGTGTGACTGTACTAGTTCAGATGTGCTGTCACAGCATTGGCTACAGAGCCAGCCATTTGAGGAACAATGTTTCACAGTATTGTAGTATATTTTCAACCGTGTACTGTGTACATATTTCCAGTATGTTTTCTTGGTATTTGATCAGGTTTTTTACCAGGCAACGTTGCTTTATGAATGCTTCATCTGTGTATAATACCATCATATTCAGGGTGAAGTGGGACACAGGGGGGAACCAGGAGAGATGGGTTACCAGGGCGACAAGGTACGTCTTCTTATTAACGTCACATTTTAATTGATAAAGTTAAAGATGGAGTTATTCATAAAAAAGATGATTTTTTTTTTTTTACACCACTCTTGTTTTTAATGTCAGACAGTTTTCTAGTGTGTCTGAGGAACATTTGTCTCAGCTGAAGCAGGAAAACATTCATCAAAACTGTTCCACATTGTGCTTTGAGCATGTGTTTGAACAGACGCAGATGTGGCTTCATTTATCACTTGAGGTCACCACATTATATTTGTTCCATGCAATTCAGACATGGTCTCAGTCATTTGGCAGTGATGCAAACAAGCAAACAAACAAACAAACAAACGCATCCTCTCATCATGAGGATTCGTCGTCTGCAGCCAGGAGCAGCAGCTCCGTGCACTCCAGCACACCGACACCGACACCGACAACCGACAACCGAGCCACGATACACGATACAACAAGAACAACAATAAACAACAACAACAACACAGACAACAACTCTGCTTCTTATCAGAAACGACTCTCACCGGAGCAGTTCCATCCGGTTGGCGTTTGGCAGTCGCTGAGGGAGGACGGAAAAGCGCGCAGCTGCTCCACAGGTAAAGTGGCGAGGAAGGAGACGATGGTGATCCGGAGCCAGCTCCCCGCTGTCCCGCTCCACTGGCGCAGACGCCGGGGCTCCGCGAGCGGTGTCTGCGCCGCCACGGACGGACCCATGTCTCAGTAGCCCCGGCTGCACGGGCGG